GACTAAATCCATTGAGTGGACAACAAAATACAAGGTGAATGAAAGACTGTCAGTAAACACAAGGTTATGTGTACAGGCAGAAAGCATCCCAACTCTACTTATGAAAAGGGAGGTGAAGGCAAGTGTCTATTACCATTGTCAGTAAACACAAGGTTATGTGTACAGGCAGAAAGCATCCCAACTCTACTTACAAAAAGGTGAAGGCAAGTGTCTATTACCACTTCTGAAGCAGGATTTTGGGGCTGCAAATCTAAAAAAAGCATGATCTTCTTCCTTTTTTAGGCCTCTTTATAATACTAGAAGGCCACAATTAAGAAAAGGCTCCCTCAAACATTTTCCTCTCCAGGCTGAACAACCCCAGCTCTCTCAGCCTGTCTTCAGGAGAGGTGCTCCAGCCCTCTGATCATCCTCAATGGTGTCCTGTGGACCTGCTCTAACAGGTCTACATCTTTCTTGTGCTGAGGAGGACCCCAAAGACAGATGCAGAAGTCCAGGTGAGGTCTCACAAGGTAGAGTAGAAGGAGAGAATAACCTCCCTCAGCCTGATGATCACTTCTCTTTTGATGTAGCCTAGGATATCATTAGAATTCTGGGATGGGAGTGCACACTGCTGACTCACGTCCAGCTTTTCACCCATGACAGCCCAGAAGTCTTCCACAGGGCTGTTTCTATGACTTCTTCTCCCCATCTCTACTTATATCAGGGATTGGGCCAACCCAGGTGCAGCACCTGGCACATGGATTTTTTTAATTTCATGAAGTTCTCTTGGGCCCAATTCTCAAGTTTATCCAGGTCCCACTGGATGGCATCCCATCACACCTGGCACATGGATTTTTTTAATTTCATGAAGTTCTCTTGGGCCCAATTCTCAAGTTTATCCAGGTACCTCTTGATGGCATCCCATCCTTGTGTTGTGTCAGCTGCACTGCTCAGGTTTGTGTCATCTCCAAACCTGCTGGGGATGCATCAATCCCACTGTCTGTGCCATTGATGAGGACACTGAGGAGCAGCGGTACCAGCAGAGAGTCCTGACAGACATCGCTTGTCACCAGCTCCCACCTGGGCACAGAGCACAACCCTCTGGTGGCATCCATCCTGCCAGTTCCCTATCCACTGAATCAAATACAAGTCTGTGTCTCTCCAATTTGGAGATAAGAATATGATGTGGGACCATATCAAAAGCCTTACAGAATTCTAGATAGATGACATCCGTTGGCCTTTCCATCCTGATTGTTGCCATCACTCCACCACAGAAGGTCACCAGATTGGTCAGGCACAATTTGCCCTTCGTAAAGCCATGCTGGCTGCCTCAGAACACTTCCTTGTCCTTTATGTGCCATGGTGTATCTTCCAGGATTGTCTGCTCCATTATCTTCCCAGACACAGAGAGGCTCACTCATCTATAGTTCCACAGATCTTCCTTCTCTTTTCCAAAAGTGGAGTGATATTTCCCTTTTCCAGTCACCAAGGACTTCACTTGACCACCATGACTTTTCAAATATGATGGAGAGTGGCTTGGAAACAATAGCAGTCATCTCCCTCAGGGCCTTGGTGGCCTAATCAGGTGTTATCAACAGGTGGCTCTTCAGGTTAAGTGGTCCTGAACCTGCTCTTTGCTTATAGTGGGAAGGACTTCACTTCCCCACAGACTCTGTCTATGGAGGGAAAATTTGTGTTCAACTGGAGTTGAAGACGGCCAGAACTTTGGGGGACAATAAATGGAGCTTTTTCCAAAAGTATTAATGGCAAAAGGCAGTGTAGAAATTACGTCAGCCACTTACAGGATGTGGATGGTCAATCTCACAAACAGGGACATGGACAAGGCAGAGGTGTTTAACGCATTCTTTGTCTCTGTTTTCAACACAGGTGAGAGACCAAGGAGGTCTCAGTGCCCTGAGCTGGAGGACCACAGCTGTGAGAAAGATCAATTTCCTGTTGACCCTGAACTTGTGCAGGATCTGCTGGCAAATGTTGTCCCAGTTTTTAAGAAGGGCAGGAAGGAGGTCCTACAGGCCTGTAAGTCCCACTTCAGTGCCCACTAAAATAATGGAAAAATATTATTCTGGGAAGTACTGAAAACTGTCTGGAGGACAATGCAGTCATTGCACCCAGCACTACTTCATGAGAGGAAAGTTTTTCTTGTCAAATATAATTTCCTTCCAGGACAGGGAAACCCATCCAGTTGATGTGATGGTTTTGGATTACAGCAAAGCTTTCAATGCTGTCTTTCTCAGGACCCTTCTGGAGAAGATGCCCAGCCCACAACTGGATAAACACATCATATGGTGGGTGAGCAGCTGGCTCACGGGTCAGGCACAAAGGGCTACAGTGAATGGGGTGACATCAGACTGATATGACCTGTCACTGGTGGGGTTCCACTGGGCTCCACAGGGCTCCATCTTTGGCTCACTTCTCTTGAACATCTTCATAAATGACCTGGATGTGAGACTGGAAGAAATACTAAGCCAGTTTGCAGATGACACTAAATTGGGGGTAGCTGTCAATTCCCACGAGGGCAGAGAGGCCCTGCAGAGAGACCTGGATAAATTACAGGGCTGGGAAATCACCAGGTTTAAGTGGGATGTCAAGAAAAGGACACCCAGAGGGCTGTTGGGCATTGGAACAGGGTCCTCAAAGAAGTGGTCACAGCACCAAGCCTGACAGATTTCATGAAGCATTTGGACAATGCTCTCAGGCACATGGTGTGATTATTGGGGTGTCTTGTGCAGAGCCAGGAGTGGGACTTTATGATCCTGATGGATTCCTTCCAACTCAGGATATTCTATAATTCTACAATTTTAAGCTGAAAAGTAGCAGAACCCAAGATAATTTTTCTGATATAACCCTAAGACCTCCCACTCCTTTAACTGTATTCATTAGAGGATGCTTGAAACCTCCCTGAAACATGCCATTCTTATTTCAGTGTAAATACAGCCTGTTGCTGAATACTAAAAAATAAACACCTGCTAGATATATTTCTCCTGAAACAAAAGAAGTATCTGACCTTTATTGGAATAGTATGTGTCAAGTTTACTAGAAATTGTTAAAATAACTAAGTCATGGCAGTTTTGTAAAGTTTCTGCCAAGTAGTCCTTAATAGTTACCACTAGAAAACTATTAATAATACAAAGTAACAACAATTGATGCCTAAATATTTCTGTGTTCAGTTACCTCACATTAGCAAAAACTCATTTCTAATTTAGAGGTTCCATTCTTTAGCCACGGAAGACCATGTGATCTGTACCTGTCCCTCACAACACTGCCTATTTGTCATATGTGTCTTTGGTTTAAGCAGATCACCAGTACTCTCTTGCTGAAAACATTCAGATGTTTGACTGATATTGTGCCAAGAACTTATCTCAGATAAGGGGCAAAACAAAAGCTCTTAAAGTACTGAGATATTTCTGAGTGAAAGAGCTTCTCAGCAAAAAAGGTCTGGAAATACAAGACTCAAGAGTATTCATTGTCCCCACATAAAACAGGGGAATAACTTAAGCCTCTTTAATTTTTTTTCAGTGAGGTTTGCAGCCAAAAATATACCTCAAATCACCTTTTAACTACAGCTGTTAGATGGAGGCTTAGAACATTCACTTCTGAGCAACTTTCAGAGACAACATACCCCAGGCTCCTTCTTGCATAAGTTCCCTTTCTCTGATAGAAAATCCTTCTTGGGTTCCTATCTATTTTATCATGTCACCATGAAAGTAAGGATAAAGTTTTAGCTCATTTTTTCTAGACAAAATTAAAGGAGGGATTGTTATTGCAGTGTGGATGGCCTGGCCCTTGCCAGTGATTATGAAGGAAATAGGTGCTCTGGGACCTATGTCCAAAAGTGAGATGTGTGGCAGACAGGTGGCTGGTAGTACAAGGTACTCAGTCAGGTCCCTCATTCAGCAGAGACCAGATACTTAAATGCACACACACATAAATGTACAACTCACAATGAATGTGTCATGCCTTAAGGGATCTGTCCTGATTTTTTCCCTGAATACCTTAATTGTTCTCACAAGAAACCAAGAACAGTTGCCATCAGCGTATCAGTTCAGTCACTATTCAAACGGAAAAGCTTTCCTTTAGACACCTTTGACACACTTTCTTAAAACAGGGAGTAAGTAAACACCAGGACAATTTTATAAGGCTGGCTTCTTTTTATATGTTGCTTTTTCTTTAGAAAATGTCTCCATAGGGTTATACGTCATGGTACACAAGTAGATCTTTAAATCATTTTGTGGCCTCTGAAACGCATAAAGCAATTAAGGTGCTTCACATTTCTCTAGCCTGTGTTTACTGACTGCATCTTGGCAATGAATATGTTGTTTCCATTGATATTTCTTTGGTAGTTAGTAAGTTAAATGTTTGTTGGCTATACTTCCTTGTAAAAAATTTTCCAGAGAGAATCTCATCAATTTTCTAGTGAAGGTTAAGCATGGTGGTAACAAAAATTCTAGATTTTTCCTAGATTTTTAATTTTCAATTTATCTTCCAGTTGGAAAACTGGAAGGATCTTTTATTAGGGAAAAAAAACCACAACCAAAAAAAACCCAAAAAACAAACAAACAAAAAAAAACCCACACCAAAAAAAAAAAAAAAGCAGAAAAACAAATCTGCACAAGATAACAGACAGAGCTTGCAAGGAACATAAAAGATTTTCTCCAAAGGTTAATAACAGTCTATTTCTTTGAACTATTATGTACTATCACAGTCTACATCCTTTCCCAGGAAAAGAAAAACTGCAAAAAATAAACTAACATTAGGGGAGAATTTAAGTACTGGTCTTCTCTATGTGAAGTTCACTGTTTTCAGATATGATTCTGGCCCTTTTGGCAGGTTCAGCTATAAAGATGCCCAAACTAAAGTCCCAAATGAAAACACCTACAAATCACACTAGTTCATATGTTCATATGTTTACAGATAAATTAATGCTTTGTAAGCCTGGGCTGGTTATACCTCCAAGGGTTAATATATCTTGTAAAAGCATTGTCCTCTGAATAGAAGTTTACCTGTGAAGCATTGCCCAATTGTACTTTGCTCCATCTCTTCACCTTTTCAGCATTTAATGCCTTCCAAAGTACTGCATGTGCCTGTTTCCAGAGTATCCTGCTCACATGGTTACTGATTAACCTATGAGTTCACTTAAAAGATTATCCTGAGACCACATACCTCCAAGGCCTTTGTGGCTTTTATTAACAGAATGTGATTTGCCCTTGAATATCACAATCCAGATACGGTTGATTATGCAGCTCTGAGCACATTGTTTTCAATTTCTGGAAGTGTGTGAAAAATAGCTAATTGTCCACTATATAAAGATTTCATGTATTACAGCAATGATTGGTTGATGTAACTTCTGTTATCTCAAGCAAAAAAAAACCAAAAAAAACCTGCTGTTCAGATGTGTGGGCAGCCTAGATCTCCATTATGAAAAGAACATCAAATGGTCATTAAATTTTAAGATCAAAATCTGTCCATTACAGACAGAGCACGTACAATGCTTTACTTTTTAAAATGTTCTTAAAATTGTTGTTTATGTCCACTCAGCCCAATTTGAAAACATAATATTGTTTTGCATCTTGCTGTTTATCTATTAATTAGTGGTTTTAAAATCCCCAAAAGCACTATCAAATATATTGACAGAAAGAAATGCCACTCTTAGATTCAAGAAATTACAGTGACTTGCCAAAGTAAGTGGAAGAACAACATAGCTGTTTGATAAGTAGATAAGTTTGTTGCTTACAAAGCAGCAAGCAGAATAACAACATTGTGATCATAAGTCCCCTCTCCATTATAATATTTATTCATATTTTGTGAAGTGGTAAGCCCATGGCTACTGGTCTGCTAAACTTCAACTTGAACACATCTGTCTCTCCCATATTAACTCCTCGCATGGTGCCTCTGTCTGGCTGCTGAGTTTCCATTACAGTATGCTGGGGAAACTGGTAATGGAGGCAACTGTGCATTCCTTGTTTTGCTTCTGTTATTTAATACCCTTCCTGATCATGTTTTCTTCAGGGTCAGCCTCAAATCAGACCTCACATAGCCTGATGTGTAGCTATCTGTGCCTTCCAGCTGCTAGGCACCTGACTCGTGTCTCCTCTGTATGGCTTCTTAGTGAACAGAGTCAGAATGAACTATTGTCCACAATCAGACTATGTGGACTCACATTTCCTGTGCTGCTACCTTTTCCAATCAGCTATGCAACTGATTGTAAGGCAGCAGAAAATACTGCTATCATCTGCAAGATGATAGAAGAGGTATTAACAAGGGGGCTGCACACTGAAGCGCCCTAGTGATACGCGTGTAATGCCACATTACAGTGAAACCAATATGTCACAAAATTGAACAGCATGTGGAAAGCAGAATTTGTATTTAAACATAAAGATTTATAATAAGCATTAAGTTAGTACTTAAGGTCTTATCACTAAGTTAAGCTGCTAAGCAATAATTGTTATCACTGTCAAGGGACTGTCATTGAAAGCTAACTAATGCTAATGGATTATCACTCATGCAAGTTAAGAGTGATCCGCAACATAGATTTGCAGCACTGAGGTTTTTGTGCAAAAAGCTATAAAAGTAAATGAATAATCACAGAACCAGAGGGTGCTTTAGACTGCAAAGTACTTTCAAAGATCACCTAGTTCAACCCCTTGCCAAGGTTCTATGATCCATAATCTGTAGGGAGGGACACTGTCTTCTGAAGCTGAGACATTCTAGATGTACAAAAATGCTATGAAGTGTCAGCAAAAAAAACCCAGTTAAGACATGTGAGTGTGTTTATGTGTGCTTGGGTGCATGATGGGGGGATTTAAAAACAGAAAACATAGTAGCTTGAGCCTTGAACATTCAGAGTTTTCAATTCAGGACTCCTACAGTGAATATGCCAAGTATCCAAGCAAGTTACGAATGAACATAAAGAATAAATTAAATTTACACTTCTCTATGGGATAAACTACAGTTGTAATGAGATGTTCCAAGGAAACACTAGTACTTACTTGAAATGTTCAGGAGTACATGTAATTTTGAAACATGAAAAAAAAAAATAAAAAGGCAGGCTATAAAGCAGAATACATGAAGTTTAATTGGCTTACTTTAATACAACTGAAGTCAATTCTGCTTGAAATTAATTTTTTTATCTAAGATCTCAAAATGTGATACCTTATTTTAATGATGACATATGTTTCCATTTACATATGAAAAATGTAAATATTAACAATCCTGCAAAATACCCTTGAAGCAGAATTATTGAAATGCCATGGAAAAGAAGATATTCAGCATAAGTAATTGTAAGTCTTGTGGAAATACATGTTTGTTTTCAAAGACAGTACTGCTTAACATAGTTTAAAAATAATAATTTAAGTATTAATTAAAGATCTTCCTTACAAAACCAGCATAAAATAAGCAAGCAATCTCTACCTTTCTTTTATCTCAGGTACTTAAAAAAACAAAAGAAAAATTGAAGGGAACAGAACTGATTTCTGTTTACCTTCACAGACTAGAGGTACCAGTGGGACTGATTTTGTCAAATGTCATCTTGTTTTAGTGGGTTTGAAGTCTTTTATAAACTTTGCCTGCTCAGCCCAGATTTTCCAGTTTATAAGTCATGCAGAAAATTTTTCCCCAGGTTGAATATTTATTAACTACCATCCTCTTCTTCTCAGACAATAGTAAACAATGCCAAGAGAGTCAATTCTTAAAAAGCAGCAATGAGACAGTATGGAGGAACTAATGGCAGACTTTCCAGAGCTGGTAACCCTGGAAAAAATGAAGCATTGCCTCCTTCTTTTGTCACCCTTACTTGCTTTCTTGCAAGCAAAGATGAAAGACTCCAATGCAACAAGTTACTTCCCTGTGCTGCTACGTGGGTGGCCACAGGCATGTGAGTTGAAAGATAAAAGACAATTTGCCATCAAATTTTTGTTGGTACTTGCTTTCTTTATGTATGGAAGGTTGCAAAGATCTGATTACTGAACTGATTTTGTCAGGCTATGCAACTCATATGCACACCCCCCCCCAAAAAGCACAGGGTGACAACAGCACGAAGGACACATCCCAGATAATATCCTGTCCTGGCTGCACCCGCCCAGAGCACTGGGCCCATAGCACAAGCCCAGTGAGGAGCCCAGTGGCAGGATGGCAGGCAGGAACTCAAAACAAGGCTTCCTGAGAAACAAACCACCTTGCCATGGCTCTCCCAGGGCTGTCACAGGACCAGTCACACTCTTGTCTGCATCCAGCAGGAAACCCATTACTAGCCATCAGGAACACCTGCAGGCCATGTTTCTCACTCTCTCTTACAGATTGGTGTCACTGAGAGAATTTTGGCTGTTTTGATCATGGGATAGTCCCTATGGCACCAGACCTGATGCAGACAGGTTGGATTCACCTGTATGAAAGGGAGGAAAGGATTCTATCCCATGAGCTGTCAGCACTGACTGAGCAGCTTTAAAGGGGGAAAGAGACAAGACCAGGCTCATTAGAGATGAGCCTGGGGTGACTCGCCTGTGTTGGAGTGGCACGGACAGCCCAGCTGAAGTGCATCTGCACCAATGCACCCAGCACCGGTAACAACTATGGAAGCCAGTGGCAGCAGGAAGCTGTGATGTGGTTATCACCATGGGAATGTGGTGGGATGACTGGAGTGCTGCAGTGGATGGCAACAAGCTCCTCAGAAGGGACAGGTGAGGAAGGAGGGGCTGTGGGGTGGCTCTGCACACTGGGGAGGGTTTTGGCTGCACAGAGCTCAGGGACAGTGGGGATAAGGCTGGGTGCCTGTGGGTGACAGTCAGAGGGATGGCCAGCATGGCAGAGATCCTGCTGGGAGTCTGTCACAGACTGGAATCAATCACAGAGGTGTTGATTCTTGGAGAAGTAAGGAAGAGAATCAGCAAAATACTTGGACCTTGGACTTCCAGAGGGTGGACCTTGGCCTGTTCAGGGCACTGGTTCAGAGAGTCGCCTGGGGTTTGTCTATGAGGACAGAGGAGTCCCAGCCAGCTCTGTGTGCCTGTGTATGTGTGTTTGTGTGTGCATGCAACACCCAGCAGCCCGTGTGATGCTGCAACCTCAGGCTGTGTTAGCAGCTCGGGAGACTGACATCAAGGGATGGTGGCTGGTCAGACTCAGGGTCTAAGAGAACTGCCAGAGACAGACATGTCATCCACAAATGTATATTGTCACTCATTGAGCCCCATCCTACTGCCCTGGAGAGGGCAGTAGAATGACACCCTCAGTGTAGTCTGTGTCTCTGTGAGGACTCCAGGTGTCTGCCTGGATGTCTGTACTGGCAGGTATGTGGTGTGTACATACACTCTATGTGCTTCTACCTTCTGGAAACCCATCTCCAGCCACACTGCTGGTTGGACACAGAGGCCTTGCCTCTCACAAGCCTATTACGGAATTTGGATTCAGCTCCTGGATTGATTTTTTTTTTCCTCAAAAAAGTCTTCTAATTTGTTGGGGGTTTTGTCTCAAACAATGCCAGGTGAGCAGTATGGTCTTGACCCAGAGATGATTTCAATGCATATATGAGGAGGCCCATCAGCCTCAGGTGGTCTGTGTAGATGCAAAGTGCATGTCTCCATAAAGTGGCAAATATTCAGAGTTTGGGTCATCACTTTAACCAGCTATTGAGTTTTGGAAGCAAATATATAATGTATTCCTATTTATTAGCAGGATTTGATATGCAGGAAACACAAGCATATTTTATTTGAAAATAGTCAGAATTTGTGCTGCCATTTCCACTGGAGGAATATTTAAAAAACACATTCTTCTGATGATTTGCAGCTGTCTTTAACTTCGTGTTTGAAGCCACTCCTGGCTGATGTCTTTGTCTTTTGTGATTATAACTCCTAAAGTTCGACAGCTTTCTTTTTTTGCTGGGATTTATCCCCATATGCTCTTCTAGAAAGCAAGTATTGCCTTTCACCCCACTAGTTTAAAAATGTCAACCATTTAAAAATTATGTTCACACTGAATATTTGGCTGGTGCCTGGGATTACTAAATTTTTACATCCAAAATAAGACACAGCCAGACAC